AGCCACCTAATTAAGATATATTGCTCCCATCCCTAGGCTGATGGATGATCCCCAATAGAGCACTAATGCTTGAGCTGTATATTTGAACCGCAGGTTGAGTGACTTGAACCTCGTTGCCATATAAAAGGACAGACAGGCTACCTTGCTGCACCAGTTGTAATGCCTGGCTAAAGGCTGTGAGAAACAGGGGCTTTTTGGTGCTATATTGATACAGAAAAAGAATGAGGGGGGAAAAAAATACAGTAATATAAAATGCAGAAAAAAGATTGCAGGAAGTGAACTACGAAAAATCTATTATTTTATGTATAATTATTTTATATATGATTTTACAGTCAAGAACTCTTAAGAATCAAAACATAGAAACAGAAAAATATCCTAGTTTAGTACTTAAAACCAGGCATGATGAAATAAAGAGTTAATAACAGAGGCTTGCAAAAGTAAACCTCTTAACATTCAGAAAGTAAAGTACTACAATAAGATCCTACAGGACATACAGCATCACACGTACAAGGAATTCACTGAAAAATACAACTTAAGGACAAAACCACATCAATGATTCTGTTAACATTTACACAGTATCATCTGTGATACTACCAACATCACATGGCAGAATGACAGGAACGTGAGCAATTAGTTGATTTTAAAGAAAAAATAGAGCATGGAAAGGAAAACAGAACAACATTTGGGGAAATTCAAGAAGAAAGTGAGATGCAGAAGGCAGGTGTATAGCTGAAATGATTAAAATGTAGTGTTAGTAGGAATTCAGGGCGCTTCCCACACAACAACTGGCGGGTGGCCCACATAAAAGTGATCTGTGACTGCTAGACAGCTCCAGTGGAAAAAAGCTCACACTCACTTGGCGCTCTAGAGTTTTGTAAGAGGCAAAAGCCCTGAATGCTGGACCAGGATGCTGTCTTCTACCCACCCTGAGATGCCAAGAATGAAAACAGTGTTTTGGGACATTGGGATGTGCGACGGATGCAATCACTGATTTTTTATCATAAAAACTGAAGATAAGACAGCTACTGAAATCTTCACATGTCAAATGGCTTATGACATGAATAACCTTTTTGGCCAGTAGCTTTAGTGAAGAACCCTAAGCTCAGTTTATCACCTTTTCTTAAGAATTACTCTAATGCATCAGAAATCACATCACTTGTTTAAAGACAAGCATTTCCAACAGTGTAACATATAATGAATTCCACCTATAAAAGCTCCAAGGAAGGATTGTGTCTCTAGCCCCTGCTGTATTAACGGAAGAACTAACTATTAGTAATCTGCAAATATCATTTTATGGAGAAAGATCTTCCAATGCATACAGAGTTGGAGACAGCAAGCTATTCCAAAGTAGTAGCGTGGTAGTTAGACTATTTAGACGAGTGTACCTAGGATAGAAATGAATTTCCTGGATAGATCTCAGCTAAGCAAAGACCTAATGACCCTGCGTCATGGTGGTTTCCGACACGAAGTACAGCTGCCTCCTTGAAATTACACTATTCAGCAGCAAATCATCGCGGAGACTCTACGGGCCCTTTCTTGGCCAAGTCCACATATTACTTAAACCCTTTAAGCAGATGTGAAAAGACTGGATTTGCCAAAGGGGAGTGTATACTTTCTTTTTCATTGTGAGCTACAACTGGCTTTTTGGCTGACAATTCCGATTTCTCATGTGCTTTGCCAGCAACATTTCACACA